CCCACTGGCCTCTCTCATCCCCCCCTGCAGCGGCCGCCGATACCCAGTGCTTCCAAGGGCAGGACCAGGAGCTCCACAGGCACCTGCTCAGTTGCGCGGTGCTGTACGGGCTGGGGGCAGGAGCAGCCACGCCAGGGGCCGAGAGCCCCACCCAGGCCCTGAGGCAGGAGATCAGAGGGCCCTTGTCTGAGCGTTTCTAGCCACCAGCGCTACACCCAGGAGGTGTCTCAGCCCCGGGATCTGTTTGATGAGTGTGAATGAGAAAGCTGGCAAAAGGGCTAGACCGGGGCCAGCGGCCATGCGAGAGGGCGGGCTGGTCCCCACGGCTCCGCAGGGGCTGGGAGAGGTGGGCACAGCGGCAGAAGCTGCCCCCACGAGGCAATGGGCTGAGACCGAAAACTTACGAAGCTCGGCTCGGGCTCGGCTGAGCCTAGAAGGCTCATGCAGGTTAATTAGGAGACAGAGAAGGGCTTTGCTGGCCAGGGTGCCCACCCTGCCCAATTAGCACCAAACAGGGGAGGCTAGCGGGGCTGAGCATGGGCACTCTCAGAGCTGTGGGTCCCCCCAGGAGCCCCGCCTAGGGAAGGCCCCTGTGGATGAAGACACTGGCTACCCTGTCTGTCCTGGGCACTTCCAGGGGGATGGGGCCAGGCGCTCAGAGGAGCTAAGTGCTTGAGGAAGGCACCTTTCCCAGGGTCTGCGGCTGCCGCGGCCCCTTTGCCCTCGGTTCAGTGGTTGGATGCGGCCATTGCCGGCAGTGGGTCTATGCTACGAGCTGCCTGGCCCCACCTCCCCTCCTGCTCAGAACTCACCGACCCAGCAGCTTCCACGGCCCGGAGGCTGGGGCAGCCTTAACCCCTCCGTAACTCCCCCCCATCTCCCTGTGGCACAGCCCGCTTGCAGGAGCGGCGAGGCCGACTCACCTCCTGGTGCCCTGTGGCAGGGGCTTGGTCCCTTCGCACTGGAGCAGGTGGGGGGCAGTGAAGTCCTTTATGGGGAGAGGCTGGCCCTCGCTGTTCAGCACCATCTCAGCATCTACACAGGAGAGAGGGGGAAGCACAGGGAGTCCCGCGGG